TGCTCACCTGGTGTTTGTTCTTCTCTCAACAAAGTGAGTTATGATGTGTCCTGCAATTGGTAATCCCATCAGCTGCAAAATTTGTGCTGTTATCTGCTTTCTTTATGCTAAAAGGATGAGTCTTGCGGAAATCCATCATGAATTATGCTTGATTTACGGCCAAGATGTAATGAGTGAAGGAACTGTAAGACATTGATGTAGAATATTCAAAGATGGGCAAACAAATGTTCAGAAAGAAGAGTGAAATGGTCAGCCATCTGTAGTGAGTGGTGATCTTGTTCAAAGTGTTGACCAAAAAATTTGTGAAAGACAGCATTTCACAATTTCAGAGTTTTCATTTGAATTTCCACAAATTGCATGCACTGTTTTCTATAAGATTATCACAAGTTTTGCACATGCTGGTTTCCAGAAATTCCCATGGGTGTACACAAAATGAAGGGAATTGTTTCATCTTTGACTTTTTTAGAGTGATGCCATAAAGATGGTGATGAATTTCTCAATCACATCATAAGAGTAACAGGCGATAAATCCTGGGCTTCATGCTGAATGCTGAAACCAAAGAGCAGTGAAAGCAATGGATGCCCACACATTCACCAAACAAGTCAAAAAAGTTTAAACAGATCTTTATAGAGTCCATCCTGTTGCATGTACGGCACTCTAAAGATGTGTGACCATTCAACTGTTTATTAAAAATCATCACATGTTTCGACCATCCAACTGGTCATCATCAGATGATACAATACTTTCAAGTGTTTTTGAATTGCAACCATTTTAACTAACATATGGGCTCATACTTTGTTCCTGTCTACTCTCTGTGCTACCCCATAAACAGGGAGCAGAACTATGGAAAACCAAAACCACCCAAGAACAAGACTATGAAGTATAGGAGAAGTAAACAAGTCACATTCACCTACCATGGCCCAGCAGTCCGAACGATAACTAAGTTGTTTAGGAGTATTGAGCTGAAGATAGCATACAATTTTTTTTTAATTGTAGGGGAAAAAATGTAAATACAAAAGAGGCTTAGGCAATGCCCATCTGTCCTTCTGTAGCACATTCTAATAACCATCTTATTCTATAATAGCGGTAGCCCCGTGATTGTTAATATAGATCTAGACTTAAATCTGTATGTATACTGTAAATAATCAGTGCAGTTACTTTGATAGCATACAAGACAGAGAATACATTAAGGAGCCATCTATGAACAAAGAAGATGGTAACCAATAAATATGAATTAAGCTGAATGTACTGGTTAAAATGTGGGGAATGCCCACACATATACATCAGGCAGACAGGGTGACTGTTTAAAATGTGGTACAAAGAACATATCAGAGAAATAAAAAACAATGGGGAAGACTCCAAATTTGCCCCACACATTCAGATAACAGGGCACAAATATATGAATATGGAAGGAACGCTTGAAGTGCTGCACTTTCAGTACGAAGGAAGAATGATAACTGTGCTGGAAAGTTACCATATATATTAAGCACACAAGCTAGGATTAGAATTACATGAAGCTTTACTTGAATCATATAGCCCTATATTTGAAATTATTATCAAAAATTGGTCGAACTGTAACTTCTCCATGACCAATAACCAAACCCCATCCCACCACACCGATAATACCCCCTTTTAACTCCCTATTGCTCACCCCTTCCTCTCAACAGCAAATCTAACAGTGGAAAATGCAGAGACCAGACACACACAGTTTAAGCTATGCAGCCCAAGAGTACACAAGTGAAGGACCATAGCCTAATAGGCTAAGTAACACCCATCTGACTGTAAGTACAAGAGGGGCTTATTGTTAAGAAAAAAGTGTCATTACTGCATGGAATTACTGACTTGTGTAATAATTACATTGCTCCTAATTCCAAAGTGTCACATGTATCACAGATAATAAACAACACTGAAGGACTACACCCTTGTAGCAATTTTGACTCAGACTACATTTTACTTAATTTTACTTCACGATTATGAGATCAGTTTTATCTAATTTACATTATAATATACCAACTTTATAATTTTAATGATTTATATCAATGAATCCAGCATACATAGTAGACAGAAACGATTGTAAATATGGGCCCATACATTAGTTAAAATGTTTGTAATTCAAAAGCACTTAAAAGTATTGTATCACCTGATGATGACCAGTTGGATGGTTGAAACATGAAGTGATTTCTAATAAACAGTTGAATGGGTATACATTTTTAGAGTTTCATAGATGGAACATGGCATTTAGATCAGTTTTTTTCTGGGACAGGAAAGGAGAGCCGATGGTGGAATTCATGCAATGGGACAAGAATAACATCAGAAGTGTGATGTGAAATGCTAAAATACTGTGTACTGTGTACTGTGAACAAAGGATATCTCGTGTACTGCTGAGTCACGACTGTGTGGTTCTGCGTACAGCTGCTTGCACCCAGGCACTGCTGGAGCATTTCAACTGAAAGTTGTTTGACCACCCTCCTTACAGCCCTGATCTCGCTCTGAGCGAGTACCACCTGTTTACTTACCTGAAGAAGTGGTTGGGATCACAGCACTTCAGCAATAATGAGAAGTTGATGGAAGGTGTCACAACATCGCTGAGTATACAGGTGGCAGTTTTCTTTGACAGAGGCATAAAAAACTTATTCCTGAATATGACAAGTGCCTCAGTTCTGGCGGTGACTACATTGAGAAGTAGCTTAAGTATGTATCTTTTTTGTTTGTAATAGAATTATTTTTTCTCATTCTTTTGTTAACAGTTCACTGGAGGTTACTTTCAGAATAGTCCTCATATATAGCATATTACAACATGTTTCTGCTCTTTTGGTCATCATCAGGTGATACATTTGTACATTAAACTTTTTACTGTACTGCTACCACTAGAGTGCAGTTATACACACTATAGTGGTGACTGAACATAAAGGTAAGTTGTAGCTCAAAATTTGATATGTGGAACACACTGTGGTGAACTCATAAGATTTTCTCCCGTAATTCCTTTTGCAGCAAAGGTTTCTGATGTAATTTCAGTGAAGTGAAATATGGTAAATTGGAAAGTGCTAAATATACAGGGTGTCCCAGGAGGAATGGGCCAAACTTCGGGAGGGTGTTCCTTATTTTAAAGTATGCCGCTATAACCCAAAACACCTATGTCCAAAGTCGAACAGTTATGGAGATAATGGCCAGAGAAGTGTTAAACTTTGACCGGCGTTGCACACTTGTTGATTACAAAATACATATTAAAACTGGCAGGAATATGTGGATTATGTAATGTTAATAATTACGTAACATCAAACTAACTTGTGAGTGACATGAAGCCATAAAATTGAAGTACAAAATACTCGCTCGCCATGTCATAATTGTCCTTAGGGTTTCCAAGCACTATACATGACACATGAATGGCAAGCGCTGACGTAACGTGGCTGACTGCGCGTTCTGATAAAGCCAACTACATACGTACGGCTAGGGTGAATCACGGCACTCAAGGACAAACATAGATAAGGTCTCTCAGCTGAGAGGTACAGTGCGTGGACCTGCCAGAAGACCACACTTTTCTTGGGCCATTATCTCCGTAACCATTCAACTTTGGACATAGGTGTTTTGGGTTATATCGGCATACTTTAACATAAGGAACACCCTCCTGAAGTTTGGTCCATTCCTCCTGGGACATCCTGTATATTCTTAATTAGAAATACAGTGTTAGAAGTGATGTGAGATTGAGAAAATTCTAAATTAATGTTCAATTATTAAATAAATGTTAATAATTATTGTTAGTAATTACCATATAGCAGTTTTCAGAGAAATGTTTTCTTTTAATCTTTCATTAATATGCTTTCCCATATAATGTGAGTAAATATATAGAAATACTGCATATTGAAACAGACTTTTCTTCTGCAACATTACTTCTGTGAACATAATGCAAATTACATACTAGCAAATACTGCATGTTAGCAGGTCTCATCAAGTTTCATGTCTTCCCTGGTATGTGTTCCAGGGGTTGCATGAAACTTCATCACAGTATTAAAAATATATATTTCATATTGTGAAACACAGGCTTGATAACTTTCTTGTGTACACCATTCTTCTGCGCATGAAATAGGCCAAACAAAGCTTGTTTAAAATGAAAAAAATCTTTTATCATAGTGTGACATGTTGTGCAATGGAGAACCCCTCCCCCCCAGCAGTGACGTGGTGGGTGAGTCAGCGCTCCATCACCCCCCTCCATACTGTGATGTAACATGGCGCGAGTAAACAGCGTTGCTAGGCTATACGCAAACACGGCGACATGGCACCGGTTCCTACTGTGACAAAGCACTCATTCCATAACAGTCAAGCACTGCGGCTATATAAGGGAACCGCACAGCCGCCGGAGTGAGTTAAAAGTGTATCAGCGGCCGAAGACAGTTCTCCACTCAGCAGTGAATGAGTAAAAGTGTGTGATCAACAGTTCTCAAGGCAGCAGCCTACGAGTCGAGTTGGAATCTAGTCAGCAGTGAACGAGTAAAAGTGTGATAATCAGTGACAGTTATGATAACTGAGAATTAATTGGGAGTGTGTAACACAGTGACACTTGTATAGCTCCCGTACTGAGAAAACATGTAGACTACTGACAATAGAGTGATTTGATTTGCGAATAGGGTTATAAATTGTGAAACCCCGCAACATTGTTAAATTAATTGTAACCAAGATTTGTAGGTTGTTGAATAAACCAATTAACAATCTCTATGGCGTCTTCAGTAACGAAACACGTTACAATATCATGTTTATAATACATAGCAACACATAGTGCAAAATAAAAACTAATTTTCCAGTGAAGGCAAGTATGTGAAGTGTCACTAAACTGTAAAAGTTTTTAAAAATAAATTATAAAGATGATAAAAAAATTAGAAAGGTTAAAAAATACTGTTAATAAATATATGGCCGACATATGACCAGATTGACTTATGACCTGTTAGTCAGAATGGAAGTCGGTCGTAAGTCGAGGACCAAATGTATTAAAAATTGTCTATTGACAGGTATCCAGATGGACTGGCATGGCAGTTACAGTTGACTCGAAAGGATATCCGTCGTTCTGAAGCTTATTTTCGTCTGCACAATTTCCTTATATCAGAAACAGACTGTGGAAATATCAGTCGACAGGAAGCTGTCAGTATGATCCCACCACTTCTGCTAGATGTTAAACCACATCATAAGGTACAATAATTGTAAGAATTTATTGGAAAGTTGTTCTGAATTTCTTAGCAGGAAGATATGAATTGGGGCAAAACAAATGTAATGCCTGTTGAAGGTTTTAAAATAAGTCTTTTAATTTGTTTTATAAACTGTTGTGTTATTGTTTTCAGATTAAATACTAGTGTAAACCAACAATTGGGAATGAGGGTTTGCAAGAAATTAGTAATGGAGTTAGAGTAATAAATTTTGTCACTTCAAAAAAATATTATTGTCGAAAGTCCAATGTTCCCACATCGTAACATTCATAAATTTATTTGGATATCTGCTGATGGGAAGATGCACAATCAAATTGATCATATTTTGATAGATAGGAAGTGGCATTCAATTATACTTGATATCTGATCACTCAGGGCAGCAGACTGTGATACTGACCACTACCTGGTGGTGGCAAAGGTTAGGGAAAGACTGGCAGTTAGTAAACAAACAACACACAGAGTTCATATGGAGGGTTTCAATCTCAAGAAATTAAACGAGGTAGACGGTAAGGAGCTGTATTGTGTTGAAATCTCAAATAGGTCCACGGCTTTGGAAAACTTAGACACTGAGGTAGATGTTAATAAAGCTTGGAAAACTGTTAGAATAACAACACTTCTGCGGAAGAGAGTGTAGGTTATTATGAACTGAAAAAGCATAAACCATGGTTCAGTGAAGGATGCTTAGAATTTTTAGACTAAAGAAAACAGCCAAGTTACAGTAGTTACAGGATCCAAAAGAAAAATGATAATCTGAACACTATATGATGTGAAAGCAGCAGGGATTTCAGGAACAAAAAGAGGGAATATCTGAAAGACAAAATTGATGAGCTTGCAATAAACAGTAAGAACAAGAACATTAGAGACCTGTATAGGGGAATAAATGACTTCAAGAAGGGTTACCAACCTAGAAGTAACTCACTGAAGGATGGGAATACTGATCTTGCAGATTCCCACAACATTTTGAATAGGTGGAGGAACTACTCCCAGTTATTGGATATACACAGGGTCAGTGATGTTAGGCAGATAGAAATACACACAGCTGAGCCATTAATACCAGATCCCAGCCGTTTTGAGGTTGAAAGTGCTATTGCAAAATTGAAAAGGTGTAAATCGCCAGGTAGTGATCAAATTCCAGCAGAAGTAATTCAAGTAGGAGGCAAAATATTATGTTCTAAGTTTCATAAGCTAATTACTTCTATTTTGCATAAGGAAATATTGACTGATCAGTGGATGGAGTTGTTATTATACCAGTTCACAAGAAGGGCGATGAAACTGACTGCAGTAATTATGAAATTGGAAATGATGACGTTATATTCCCAGTATATATTCCTTACTATTATATACAGTTAATAATAAATATTTATTTAACTTAATGAGATTCATAAATATAACACTAGATTACACAGTAACTTACATGTACCTATAGTGAATATAACATTTCGCACAGACAGTAATCTTGATACCTTTTGTACGGTTTTTAATGTATAACTTATTATGTTGTTTTAACCTTTGTCTCTTTTGTCATCTTACCTGACGGGTGTACATTTGACTGAATTTTATGTGCCCAGCTGATTGCCTGTATTAATAAGTAACCATACCAGGACCGAAAATATCTATAATGTCATCAGCTGTTTTATCTCATAAGATATATAAATATTATTTATATATTATATAACATGTAGTGATTCCTTGGTGACAGTCTTTGGCATCAGCCATGTAATTTCATGAATATACCAGAAGCCACAAAGAGAGTCTCGATATGTTGATTGGATGAGAGACATGTGCAAGTGATGCAGTCCCCCTCTCTGCACTCAACACATGCAATGCAGTCCCCTGCTCAAGACTCTTTGCCCGAAGAGTAACCTTTAGATATGGTGCCATTCTCCTCAAGTGTATGGTCATCTTTGACCTAGGATGTTGCTGGATCCTGTAGACTGCATCGATGATCCAGACAGTTGCTTTGTAATACCCTTCTCAGGATGGCTGCAGCTTAGGCAACTTCCCTCTGGTTTGGTTCGGGCTGTACAGCCTTACATATTCTTCTTCCTAGAATTCTGCAGAGTTTGCTAGGCGGTCATAGTGAGCATTCTGTTGCATGCCACCTTCACTGTTGAAAGGCATACTGATGGGTGTCATGCAACTGTTTCACAAGGTTTGCTATGTAGTCAGTCATGAATTGCTCTTTGTTTAGGGGGTGGGGTCCTGAAACAGCAGACTGTAGAGCAGCCATAACTGCCTCCCGAACACCAAACAGGTTGACAGGTGTCTTGCCTGTGGTCTTTTGGGTTAGCGCTCTGTAGGACACCAGGGATAGGTATAGTCTTGCGTCTGATGGTGGTTGCAGAGGGCCATAACACCTAAAGGAGTGTTGACTCAAAGTACTGTCCCTAGTCTGTGTGCAGTTCCCTATGGACCCCAAAGTGGCAGAAGAAGTTGGTCATAAGAAAACCTGCTGCTGTTGGTGCCTCTTGCTTAGGGATGAAATAAATCTCTGGCAACTCGGTGAAGAAGTAGTAGAGGTATTGATTCCCTCTTGTAATCAAGACATTTTCCTTTCTTGCTCTCTTGGAAGGGTCCTTCAGTGTTGATGGTGATCCTCCCAAATTGTACCCAAACATTGGACTCATACATTAGGCCTCATCTCTTGGTGCAAGGGTCTTGGTTTGCAGGTGTCACATCCTTGGCACCACCTTTCAACATCGTTCTTGCATGTAGCCTGTAGTACTGTTGTCTGACCTTGTCCAGGGTGTTTTTGAACCCAGATGTGCTCCCAAAGAATCTCCATGGAGCCCTCCCATTAGCTCCTTCACCTTTGTACAGGATAGAACTATTTGGACATGCTGTTTTGTGTGTTGTTTAATGACACTTTTATTATCCATATTGCCCAGTGCCAGATTTTACAGTGATTCCAGAATGATGATGAATTGAAAAGGATATGGCCTAATGGAGGCAGTATTCTGGCAGCTGCCTGAAGGGATTATATAATTCCACAAAAATCTGTCAAGATAGTTGGTGTCCTGGCTGGGATTTGAACCAGGCACCTAGCAAATACTTCTGACCAGTACCTTTAGACTATCAAATTCAATTCGGCTGTCCTGGACTATCCATCAGCTGACTTCCAGTGGCACTTTGCCACACCACCAGGGAGCTCCACTGGGCTCAGTAACTCTTGTGTATGGTATTGCATTCAGTGATGTCCCATCACTTGTGACATTGTCCAGCCTCCACTTCCTGTAGAATTTGCCTGTGCAATTTGCATCGATTTCATGGCAGCATGGTCCCAGCCATCCGTGGCGGTAGCAATGACACCTCTTAACACTAGACTGCTTGACTGTCATCTGACTTCTTGTCAGTGAGCACATGTGTCTTTGCAGAATCTTCTAGAGAGAGCATCTGTATTGGTGTACTTGCACCCTTGGTGATGTTCAGATGTAAAATTGTATTCTTGGAGATGCTGGACCCAGCAGGCAGTCTATCCATCCAGGTTTTTGAAACCGAAGAGATGGGTTAGGGCAGAGTGGTTGGTTGTGCAGGTGAGATTCTACATGCTGAAGTGTTCCAGCATCTTAACAATAGCCAGTAACTCTTGTCAGGTCATGCAGTTTCTCTCAGCCTTGGGTAAGATCCTACCATAGCAAGGTACTGCATAATCCTGGCTGCCCTGCATTTGGGGCAACACGCCCTCAGTCCCACATTACTCACATCCATATCAAACTGAAATTCTCACCAGGCTGTGGGTATCCTAGGACAAGTGCTGTACACAGTGACTTCATAGGCCAGGAGACGGCTTCTGCCCATGGAGACCATTGGAAAGTCTGCATTTCTTCTGTGAGCTGGATCACTTTCTTAGCAATCCCTGTAAATCCAGTAACAAACCTCCAGTAGGAGGTGCACAGACCAAGGAACCTCCTTGGCTTGTGTTTGTCTTTTGTTGATAGTTGCTACCATACAGCATACAGCTTTTCTGGATCTGTGGTCACTTCTTCCAGTGATACAGTATGTTCCAGGTACTGCATCTCCTTTTGGAACAGTTCCCTGAACTTCTGGAACACCTTCATGTGTTTGTCATGCTGCTTCTGGAACATCAGCTGACAACCCTCATCAACTTTATCAGTATATCAAAAAGGAGCCTACTTTACTGGCATAAAAGTGTTCAACAATCTGCCACAAAGTATTAAAAACTTGGGCAATGATACTAAAAAGTTTAAATCAGAGTTAAAGAATTATCTACATGCTCATTCCTTCTACTCTTTAGATGAATACTTCAATGTAAATAGAGAATGATGTAAAATTAAGTTATATTAATTTTTAAGCTAAAATTGCCTGTACTTATGTATGTAACCTTTTGACATGTTCTGTATCCAAAGGTACTAACCTGCTTAGGATTTATAGAATGTAAATAAATTCAGTTCAATTCAATTCAACAATCATATCTTCTGGGTATACCAGGTAGGCTTTATAAACCTGTATGGTGGAATTTGCCAGCTTCTTGACTGTTGCCAGAGAGTTGCAGAGACCAAAGGGTATACCAGTGAACTGCCAGGGCCCCTGTCTGCTTGTTGCTGGAGTGCAAGGAAACCTGCCTGTAGTCACTCTTCAAATTCAGGGTTCGGAACTACTTGGCCCCAGCCTGCATATCCAGTGTGTCATCAGTTCTTGCTAATGGAAAGAAGCCCTTCTTTGTAATGTCATTCAGCTGTCCATATAGTGGACATGGAAACAAAAGTCTACAGTCATCTGCCTGACTGTCATTCACCTCAGCCTGCTCTGCTAGTGGAAGTCTGTGAGAGGGCTAATGTATTGGATGGGTGTCACTGGTGTCTATGTGGTGGTAAGCTCTGTCAACCAATATCCACCTTCTTCATTGTTAAGATATGCTGAAATTAATTGATTAACGTCTTCCAACTCTGGGAGTCCTGTAGTTTTGGGATTCCTCCTGGTGCCAGACATTGCCTCTTGCATTTGCTTTCAGGCTGGAATTTGGGGTCCTGAGCCATCAGTTGACACAAACCACAGTTTCTCAGCAGCCCAGGATGGTTTTATCAGCCACTGCTTGGTCTTGGTGGCTCATGTTCTTGAAATGAGGGTTACCTCTCATTGAGCATGAAAGAACATTCAGGCTATGCACAGCCCTTCTCGTTGCTTGCAGAGGACCTCCCAGCAATGCTGTCACTATCTTCTCAGAGCCATTGGCACTTCTTTTACTGGCCAGTATGAGAGATTATTGTGGTCAGGCTCTAGGACATCATAATGACAACTCTTACAACCCCAGTTATAGCATGTCCTTCCAAGTCCTCTGTGGTGGTGTAAGCTCCCATGATATCAAGCCCCAGAACTAATTTATCTCTGATCTTTGCAACACATACCCAGCTTTCTAGTGCACTGTGCCACAGAGTCAGATCCACTTGCACCTGCTTCAAGAGAGGAAAGTTCTGCAGATGCTACTTGCAGAACATGCCGCAGACTGCTTCTTCTCGAGCAACACTGAGGTGATATCTGGCCTGGTGATGGTCACAAGGAATGGTTCAACCTCTATCCAACCCTTGGCGATTATGCTGTCATCTGCTCCCCATGGCTCTGACATGAGTGGGAAGTGAGAGGTGATGGTGATGGTAGTGACCCCCTCTTCGGGTCAGCTCTTACTTGTTTTCCTTGTCCTGTTCAGCCTAGTCATGTCTTTGTTCACAGCCCTTTCAGATGACTGACATCCGCACACTTCCAGCTTGTAGTGTTCTCAGTCCTGTGGCATATGGACCCTGGTGACCATGTTCCCATTGGGGCTGTATCCCTTAGTTCTTGCCTGTGGTACAGCTACCGCCTTTGCAACTTCTACCCTCAGGGCGTGGCAGGGGACATTGTTGATAGGGCGGTCGCTGCCAGTGAGACAGTGCAGCCAAACTTTTCAGTCTTTCATTCCAGTGATGAAAGCATGGGCTGTTGCCCTCTGGAGGAAGTCTTCCAGTGATAATGGGCCCAATGGGTTAAGTGCCCTGTGGCCATTGAAACTTCTTTTAGAGACTTGCTATCCAACTGGGTCCTAGCAGTAGGTCACTGCCATTGTGTAGTCAGTAACTGCCCTTCAGTTTGCTGACAATGGCCTCAAATATAACTGTGCTAGGACCTGTGCAGCTTGTTCCTGCTTATGGTGTGGCCTCCTCATGTGCTTGTCAACTGGTGTAGTGAGACTCGGCCTTCAACTGACTGTGAATACATCAAATTTTTTTGGCTTCACCATGATGGTGCTGGTCCCTGTGTTCTCACTGCACCCCCATCACATCTCATATGAGGCTTCCAGGTCATATGCAGTCACTTTTAAATCTTGTTATGCCAAACCACGAAAGAACCTCAGGATATCCTGTCATCTGATCGTCACTTTTATTGTAGGTGCAAGTTGAGTTTTTTGGTGAAAATCATTATTTTTGTTCCTTCATCTCCATCCCCTATTATTCCTTTCCTTTATCTCATTCATACCTTTATCTCCTTAACAGCCCTTTCCCATATTCCTCTTCTATTCATTTTATTTGTTCATTCTATTTTCAGCCTTCTGTCTTCCTTCTTCCTTTTCCATTATGCTGAAACAGCTTGGATAAATGTTTCTCAGTACAAATCTTTATAGAACAACGAAAAGTATCAACCATGTTACTTATTCTGTTACTTTGGTGTTTTTCCAAAATTCATATTCTTTGCATGTAGAACCAGAAGTACATACTCATGCAGGGTTTTATAATTATGGATATTTAAAACTGAGTCATATGCGTAAAAGTAACAATTGTACATCAGGTTGTGTGTGTACATGTCATCCTTCCTGTGTTCATCATCATTTATATACTAATAAGTGATTTCATTTTTATCTTGAACAGATCTTGGACATGTGTGCAGCACCTGGTTCAAAGACAGCTCAGCTGATTGAATTGCTGCATGCTGAAGATGGCAGATTTCCCAGTATGTTACTTTCATGCAGTACAAAGTAGTAGTTCTCTCTAAGACCTGCTTTCTTGAATGCGAGTTTTGTGATTTCTTATTAGCTTCTGGTTTTACTTGTATTAGAACTTCAGTCTTGTACTATTTTCATATCAGTAGGAGTTAAGGAAAATTCATGGGCTTGAGGAGAGCCAAGCTCGGGTTCGACTGATAACTGCTACACAGCGTTCAGTATTGCCATATTTAACCCCCTGAAGCCCAAGCAGATAGGAATAATAGAATTTTAAGTGACAGAATGTTGAAAGTTCCCTGACTTCTCCTGCTTGCCCTTCTCGTGAAGGTAGGTGACGATACAGAATCGTAAGAAATAGTGGCTTTGGGCAAGGATCAGAGAATTATGATTTCCTAATTATGTTCAAAATGTATAACTTGAAAAGAATTTAGTGGCCTCCTCTGCAAGGAGGATTAATTTTGATTAATTTATATTAGTAGAACTGATTCAACTTGGAACTTTGGAACTATCTCAGTATTTGCTTTGAAAATTGGGGAAAACCAAGAAAACCTGTGTATAATGGCCAGTTGCAGGACCTCCTGGTACATACAGGCAGAGAGCAGTCTGGCAAACAAGAGGGTATTAGGAGTCTCCTAAGGCAGTGGATCTCAGCGTTTTGCATCTTATGTCATACCAGTCTTTTTGGTAAAAGAAACAAACATTTCTTTTCCAGAGATTGTGTTTTCATAATTATATGTTTTAGTATCGTATTCATCATTAATGGAAGCACGTAAGGACTTAATGATCGTAAGAGTTTGGCAGTATGTTTTATTGCTGTAATTATGGCAAAATAATATAATTCTCTTAATAGTAAAAGTAAAAGGAGGCTCAAGAGATCCCTGTGTTGACTGACTGTGTCTGTCCATTTGTCTATGTATCCCCCTCCTTTTTGAGGCTTATGAGATTACCATGCCATGTGTCTGTGTATCCCTGCCTAATTTTTGTTAGGAGGTTAATGAGCTCACATTGCTGTCTGCATGTCTGTCTTGTATCTCTCTGACTTAGATATGTCTAGAAATCACATAATGTAGATACACATTCTATGTAATGACTTGCCAAAGCATAACCTTAGTTGGGCATCTCTATGGCAGTTTGGACACAACACCTATACTCATAAGTGAGTGGCTCTTGATAGCTTTGGTGCAAGACATTGATCCCTGATTTTGGTCCTTAGTGAAATCTTTGTGCCGACTTTTCAGTCCAGAGATTGAAAGTTTCGTCTCTACCAAAGATAGAACTTTGGAAACGTGAAGAACATCAGCCCCCCCACCAGTGGTTCCAAACCAGTGTTATGGTATATGTCTCCTCTTCCAGCAGAATCTGCCAGACAGGATAATTAATGAATGAACTTGAAAGGATCTGCAAGGCACCAGTTGTGGCTTAATCTGGGTACTATCCCAGTATTTTCCCGGAGGGAGTGAAGAAAGTTATAAAAAGCCTCAGTCAGGGTAATTGGTATCCCAGCTGAGAATTGAACCAGACACCTTCCAAATACAAGTCTAGAGCCTTTCTGCTAGACTGAACTGTTCAGTCATTCATAATGTTGATAGTGGTAGCATGAATTCACTTGTCAACAAAATCTGCCTCTCCTTTCAGTGTCTTTACTCATAATGAAGAAGAATATAATTGAATTTCTTTAAATGCAATGATTTTTAATAATTCCCATTGAAAAAGTATTAGTGCAGTGAAATTGTTTAATGTTAAAAACTGAGATTACATCGAAGAAATTGATCTAGTACAAGCAATCCCATTTTCATGTTCATTCTCAAAAATTCTCCAAATTCTCATTTCAAACTGAAATTTCCTTTTTCTGTGTATGCTTACTGTCATTGAAGAGTTGTTTCTTTTGCCTTACAAATATTCTGGAAGATCATTCAGAATGGTGTTAAAAGTATATTTTTATTTTACAAAAGTATAAGTATAATCTTTCATGATGATATAGTAATCCAGAAACTTTATTTTCACTTTATGGAAACAGGGGCTTATTTCATGTCTCACTTAAGGTGTATTTAATTTGTTTGCAGCTGGTTTTGTGATAGCAAATGATATAGACAACAATCGTTGCTATATGCTGGTTCATCAGGCTAAGAGGTTCAATTCTCCGTGCGTTGTGATCACGAACCATGATGCAGCTGTCATGCCAAATTTCACTGTTACTGGTACAGGTATGTACTTATTAACATTTCTGGTGTTACATAATTTGCTGTTATTGTTTGGTATTAAGTGCTAAGTACTTCAGAGTTTCCAGTGGGTTCTGATGAGGGTATGTTGCACTTAATATTGCTGGGTTTCTGAACTTTATTCATTTTCTGGTATTCTGAGCAACACGTTTTTTGAACAGGATCTGCTCCAAGAGGCAAACACGGTGTGTCCAGGATCCGTTAGGACTCATTTTTTAAAATTTTGCCCTGCAATGCCATCTGTTGGCAAGTTGTGGCATTAAGATTCTTGAAGTTTCAGCTGTGGCTGCTTATAATTTCAAAGCGCAAGCATTGCTGCATCGTGTGTTCTGACCTTGAATGTAACAGTACTGTTCTGACGCTCGTTGGAAAATGGCAGTTGAACAGAGAGTCAACATCAAATTTTGTTTGAAGTTAGGCAAAACAGCCGGAGAAGTGTACGAAATGATGAAAAGTGTGTAAAGTAGTGATTGTTTGAGTCGCTTGAACATTTTTCGATGGTATGCTGTATTTTGCGATGGCAGGGAGGACATTAAAGACGCTCCACGTGCATCAAAGCTGAGAAGAAGTCGCACTGAAGAAAATATGAAAAAAGTGACAAAAATCCTTACATTAAACAGATGTGTTTCTGCAAGACTCATCGAGGAGCTTTTGGGAATACCAAAAAGTACTGTGCATCAAATTTTGACCAAGGATTTGGGCAAATGGAAGGTCTGTGCATGGTTTGTACCGCACATTCTGTCAGGCAATGAAAAACATGCCAGAGTGGAACACTGCAAAGACATGTTACGGTCGGCCCAAAGTGATACAAAATTTACAAAATCGATTGTTACTGGTGATGAGACATGGTATTTTCAAAATGAGCCTCTCACAAAGTGGCAGAGTGCAGTGTGGTTGAGTCCAAAGAAGCCGAAACAAAAGAATTTGTGCATGCAAAAGAGTCGAGTAAAGACACTGCTAACCATTTTCTTCGATTCCAAAGGAATCATTCACAAGGAATTTCTGCCAGAAGGTCAGACGGTGAATTCTGATTATCTCGGAGTCCTCAGTTGTTTGTGGGCGAGAATTCTTTGAATTCGACCTGAATATCAAGAGCAAGGTTCCTGGTCGCTCCTCCACGACAATGCCCCACCCCACAAATTGAAGATCATGCGCGATTTTTTGTCCAGAAAGGGGATCACAGTCCTTGATCATCCTCCATATTATCCAGATTTGGCTCCAGCAGATTTCTGGTTGTTCCCAAAAGTTAAGTTGGTGATGAAAGGAGACCATCACGACACCATCCAGGACATCCAAAGGGCATCTACCACAGTTTTAATGCGATTCCACAAAAGGAGTACAGTGACTGTTTTTGAAATCTTTTCAATCAATTCCAGCTATGTATTGATTCAGAAGGAGACTGTTTTGAATAAAAAGAGTGAAATTTTGAAAGTAATTCACGTCTTGTATTTTTAATGAACACATTCCTAACAGAAACTGGACACATTGTGTATATACTTTTATTTGACTGATGTACATTGACAGGTGACTAAGACTAGCTCCACCTAATGACTCAACTGAGTGGGTTTTTTGCTACTTTTTCACCTGAGGATGGAAGAAAATCCCATACTCAGAACACTGTGTTATGTTCAGAATAGTTAACACTGGACAAAGTCAAGAAATGGAGAAAATTCAATAACTTGGAAGTTAAATATTTCTGTTCTAATCTTGTGTCACAAAATCAAGACCAGCGAATTAATGAATATGTAGTACCTGTGGATTGTGGAAGCCAGAAATCGATTTTGACTGGAAAACCTCAAGGGAAGAGACCATTTGGAAGACTTAGGTCTAGGTGAGGATTAATATTATAGGGTATCTGTCTTAGAGAAATGAGCTGTGAACATACTAATTAAAGTGAACAGCTGCAGAATGATGTTCATTGTTGAGCTTATGTGGGTGTCATGGTGGATTTGTGGATTCCAGGAGATGTGGAATTTGTAGACAACCTGAGAAACTATCAGTTATCAAGTAAGACACTGTACCATTGAGTTAGTTATTATAAAAGAGGTACTGCATTTACACAAACTTCTTCCTTTGTTTTCAAAGCGAGAATAAAGGATCATTTTTAATTTGTGTTCAGAATATTGTGACATATAAGCTGTTTCTAAGAAACGCTTTGGTAGAAAACACGTTTCCATAGAGGTGGATTCCTGGAGACCAACTCGGTACAACAAATATTTCTGCGTAAAGCAACATTTAACAAATGTTCCTGTATAAACAGACATTCCACAAACACTTCCATGGATACCGCTAGACCAGCCCTGTCCAACGCGGCACCCGTGGTATATTTTTCTGGCGCCCTCCGTAACCACATATAATTGAGCCGATTTTTAATATTAATTCAAATTGTAAGACAAGAGACATTTTTGAACGTCTGAGTACTGTTAAATATTTTCAAAAATTTGTATTATTATTATTATTATTATTATTAGTAGTAGTAGTAGTAGGTAATAGTAGAAGTACTAGTAGTAGTAGTGTGTGGTGGCGCCCGCACCTCCATAGACATCAGTGAATTGTGCCCGAGTACATAAGAACGTTGGACAGCACTGCGCTAGACCATATAAGCAGCCATTCAGATAAGAATGCATTGCCATATATGAGGAGTCATTCATAATTAATTCATGCATGAGAAGTCATTTGTAGTAGAAGACAGACTAGAAGAGAAGACAGTTGCAGCCCAGCCAGAATGGAGCAAGTCTTAGGCCGTCACTGATTCTGAGTTATTATAATTGATTGTGATTAAGAGTGATTGTAAAAGAAGGCATTAATAAATGCAATCATCAAATCCAGAACCTGTCATTATTAGTCATGGAGCCATAAACACATGACAATATGTATCAGTGTTTTTTTTTTCTTTATTAGCAAGTTAATGTTTTTGAGATGCAGTATATCCTAACCTTTATGCCATATTGTGCTGTCAACATAGCATGTGAAAAACAGAAATGTATTTCTAGGTGAGGAGCCATGAACTGTGACAAGTTTGTTGGAAGTATGACTAAAATCATAGACTGAAAGTGGTAATTTACTGAGAGAAGATATTATGTTGAGAGTGATTAATTTGAGAATGCCATAGACAGAAATGTTATATGCAAATATGTTTCTTACTTGGGGGTCATATTTTATGCTGGTTGACCACCTGTAAAGTTTTGTTGTCTCCCATGTTTACTTATGGGGAAAATTTTGTAAAATGTATAAGATCAAAGCAAAATTATGCATGTACACATTTTGACTGCTGTATAACAGTAGCCACACCATGTTACTTGTAAATTCCTTTATTTGTATCATCATTGCTGTCACAGATTACTTTCTTGACCCCCCCCCNGAGAGGGCTGACTTCAGTCGACGGCCAAGGACATAGACCACAGGAATGACGTAAGCACGGCACGGATTACAGAGTTAACAAGTGAAGAGTGGGATGAGAACGGAGCTAGCCGCTGCTGCCATCTTCCACGAGGCACCTCTTTGCAGTGAGCCGAAGAGATCGGCTCACAGTACATTGCCTAACAATGGGTGAACATTTAACAGTATCCTTGATTTGTAACCTGGGCTGTGGCTGATCGCAGAATAAGTATGTTGCTTGTTTCACTAAGGTGCAGTATTTTCCTTTCTGCATATAGGTCTTTCTGTAGAAGAGCTTCATGATACAGAGACAAGGTTCCATGGAATGCAGAAAGCTTCTGATGCATGTAATGACATAGAAATTAAGAGTTTCTTTCTGCAGATGGAACTCTGACAATGCTGAAATTTGACCGGGTGCTGTGTGACGTGCCTTGTTCTGGAGATGGCACGCTGCGAAAGAATCCTGACATCTGGTTGAAGTGGAACACTGCAAATGGAAATAATCTACATGGGTAATGTTTCACCTTTATTTCACTTTGAATTAGAGGCTCTTCATATTTTCCTGTATTGTTGCGTGATTGTTTGTGATACAGTTGGTATCACCTAGTTATGTACTTAAAGCATGTTTCTCACCAGTGACTGAGGTGTTTATTAAGGAAGTAGCAGCTTACTTATATTTTTTTCCTTATTCTGTATGCCATAGAGTTTCTAAATGTACACTCTGAAACGTGAACTTTATGTAAATAATAGAGATGTTTAAATTTTTCTGTCACACAGTTCATATTCTCTTCCAATTTTTTTTACAAACTGCAACATGTTGCAGTGTATATTTGCCACTATCAGGCCTTCAGTTACATAAACATGGTAAAATGCTATCCCTGTAGCAGGCTGTGAAGGCCCATAGGGTTGTGAGACATCGAGGCTCCCACATTTTCTCTAGACATTCGGCTCAGAGATGGTTGTGTTGAGCATCGTGGACTCAGTGAGACATGATAACGCATGCGTTGCCAGTAATGTTGCCCGTTGTGACATAACAGCAGATGCTGCTGCTGCAAGGGGCAAGAGGGAACAGTATAAGAAGCCAGCTGATGAGTGTGTGAGCCAGTATACAGTGTCGTTGCCTGGGAATAACCGTTGCAATGAACTGTTGAAACAGCACATCATTGCCTTGGTATAACCATGGCAACGAACTGTTGAAACAGTGGAAATAATGCATTTCTGCGGCAACAAGCACAGAACACGTGAAATGGAACCCTGGGCGAAAGTGCCCTCTATTGTGTCCGAAACCGGGTTATAATAGTCCAGCTCCGAAGAAATTTTCAGTGGTACTGGACGTGATAATAGTTGTGCTCGCTTGTGTAAAAGTGAGCGTTCAATAACTTATTCGATGAATCCAAGACGTGCATGGAAGTTATTTCGTAAGTATAGTTTATTTTTCGTTGTTTTTCATTTTGTTTTCTAAGAACAAGCTTAGGTCGTTGTACTTGCGGAGCGGAAGCAATGCGTCAAGTAATTTCAAATCAAACTAGGGAAGAACGGGCAGACTGAGCCACAGCAAGGTGTGGCCGGGCACAGCTATTAATTAATAAAATTTGTACACAGTTATTTGGTGGAGAGCACTGTATGTGTTATTTTCTTAGTGGGATCTCCACAAAATTACTTACTTTTTTATCTTCTTATATTTACTGCTAAAAGTGTTCTGTTAAATCAATATTGGTTGGGATGACTGGTTTTTTGAACTTATCCATCACTTGTCTACTGCCAAGGTCAAGAATGATGGAGCTGTACCTCCAGTCTCCCCATATGTCTTCATGGCATAGTGCTTAAATAATTAAGTGCAGGGACAACTTCACCTTTTTACCTTACCCATCATATGGTATTCTAAAGAACACACCATTTTGGAAACTTGACCTGTTTCCATCCCTATGTGAGGGAGTGGGAGACACCTTGTCTGTGGGTTCCATTAGAAAGAGCTAACCTTAATCACTGACAGCATAATGTCAGTATGACTACAGCTGTATTTAAAAATCCTAGTAATCTCGAGTGTTAAACATGATAGTTGGAACCCTCTAGAATATCCTGGTATTTGTTCTGTTGTATGTGCTGCAGCTGATGCTCTCTGGGTAGTGTAAATACTAATCTGTCCAAAAAGTATCCGACCTTGGGTGGTTACAATACCTAATTGCCTTCAAAGTAGGCCCCTTGTGACTCCACTCACTTAGCCCAGCGGTCCTTCCATGGCTGGAAGCAATTCTGGAAGGCTTCTTTTGGAATGGCATGCAGCTGCACCGTCGCGTTCTGTATGATGTCCTCACGGCTGTCAAAACGGCAGCCTTTTAGCTGTGTCTTCAATCTCGGGAACAGCCAGAAATCACAAGGAGCCATGTCAGGAGAGTAGGGAGCCTAGCGAACCTGCAGAATGCCGTGCTTGGCCAGGAAACCCTGGATCAGGTGCGATGAATGAGCTGGGGTGTTGTCATGATGCAGCTGCTGGTTGCGTGCGTCCCACAGCTCTGGTCTCTTGCGCCGAACTGCATCACGAAGATGGCGGAGGACTTATTGGTAATACTCCTTATTGACAGTCTGGCCTAGTGGTGCGTATTCATGATGCACAACACCCCGATAATCGCAGAAAACAGTCAGTATCACCTTCACATTGCTCCGAACCTGTCGTGCTCTTTTGGGCCTCGGGGATGTTGGATGCTTCCATTGTGACGCCTGGACCTTGGTTTCCGGGTCATACCCCAAGTTTCTGACAAAACATAATGCAGTATCACTGCTCCAAGCGTTTTGTCATCTTGAGCGAAACGAGAATGCGACCAACACGTGTTACACCACTTCGCTATCTGGCAGCCACAGACGCATCCGGCAGTGTTGCGAGTCAGCAAAAAATCACGCATGCTCATGAAAGTCCCTTCTACTACTTCACTCAGTTTCCCCACCCTTTGGCCATTACTTACAGCGAAAAAAAATAAAGTCGGATACTTCTTGGACATACGGTATGTTGATTGTGCTGTATGAGAAATTTAGTAGCAAGTTATTCCTCAGAGGTAACTTGAAATCTTATATGTTATTTGTAGTTATTTACTTACTGTAGTAGTAGGTAGTACTTACTGTATATACTTATATATATGTGCCATTTGAATAGTCTATGTACTGGGAAGCAGATTGGTATGTGCTGTAATCGACAGGGAAGAAAATTAATAATGGGTTGGCAGGCAAGGAGGGGGAATATATTAAGAACTGATATTTGAAAATTCAGTTCCAAACTCGGAGGAGATACAATATGGTTCCATTACAAACACCAGCCAGTTAATCCTGTTAGGGAAATAATTGCTGCTTATTCTGAGAATCATAGGAAACCATACATTATGTGGGGAAAAATATAGAGCTTTTCAATGCCAGAGAAGCTAGTACATATAGTAACCAATGTGCACTTGCAAAGTTTAGTCAGTAATGAAGATTATCTGTAATGTGTTGAAGTATCCAGTCCCGAATTTTGCGTCGTGGTGTTGAGATGCTGTCAGTTGGAGGACGTCTGGTATACTCTACCTGTTCACTCAACCCACTTGAGAATGAAGCTGTGATACATCGCCTCCTAGTGGATACACGAGGTAGTTTTCATATTATACATCTGTCACACAAAGCAAAATGGCAGTAAAAGATTACCTCCTTGGTCTTTTATTCTTGTTTCAGTATTATGAAACCATAATTTGGAGGTTAATGAGTAACACAAAATTAGAAAGCTCACAGCCATCTCACAGTAGATGAATTGATGTTGTTTAATGTTGGATCCATCACTAAATTTACAGTATCAAAATATTATGTGATAATGTGCATATTTTAATTCTTGTGAAATGAAGTAGGATTATTGAAATGTTTTACTTACTCTGTGTATAACAGTAGGCATTTTTTAACCTTTAAGAGATGGGGTGTGCTACAGGGTATGATTGATAGACTAATCGAAATTGGAAGGTGCTATGGCATGGAAATGAATGTGGAAAAAACAAAAGTTATGAAAATTTTGAGACAACCAACCCCAGTCACAATAAAGAGAATGTGAAATGTTTTAAATATTTGCGTAGTTTGTTAACAGATGATGGAAGGTTTACGTGTGAAATTAAATCTAGGATTGCCATGGCAAAAGCTGCATTCAGCAAGGAGAAGAATCTTTTTACCAGCAAATTGGACTTAAATTTGAGAAAGAAACTGGTGAAATGCTACATTTGGAGTATTGCTTTGTATGGGGCTGAAACTTGGGACACTTAGGGCAGTAGATCAGAAACACCTGGAAAGCTTCGAAATGTGGTGTTGGAGAAGGATGGAGAAGATCAGTTGCACCGATTATGTGAGAAATGATGAAGTGTTATGTAGAGTCAGTGAGCAGAGGAATATCCTACACGAAATAAGAAAACGGAAGGCTAATTGGATTGGTCATATCTTACGCGGTAGCTGCCTTCTAAAAGAAGTTATTGAAGGAATGATAGAGGGGCGGATAGACATGACCAGAAGACGAGGAAGAAGACGTAAGAAGATGCTGGATGACCTTGGGGACAGAAGAGGACATTTTGATCTGAAGGAGAAAACTCTAGATCGCATCAAGTGGAGGAACTGTTTTCGAAGAGACTGTCGACCTGTCGTCTTGACAGATTACAGATGAATGAATGAAGAGACGGGCCATTTATATTCTGGTAATGGCAGCAGGCTGGAGTTAATTTAAATGCCCGCCATTGTAGAGTGTTAAAAATTGTAATGATGTTACTGAAAATGCTGTGATTTCTACACTTTTGTGATAAAAGAACGAAATAGACGCTGCTTTTATCTAGAAAGAATATAGAATCAGATATTGTAATTTACAGATTTTAAAATCTGTAAAAATTGTTACACTGATTCCAAAAATTGTTTCCCCAAATTTCGAGCGTCTGTCCACAAATATGCATACAGTTTCTGCACAAAACGTTTCTGCAGTATAAATGCATGCTGCTGACATCCTGTCTTACTATGTCTTATCTATCAAAAGGGGCGGAAGTTTATGTTTGTATTGCACATTCTCCAGTCATGTCGGAACCTTTCTGTATGCACGAGTGTGGGTGACGTCTTATCATACTTTGTCCTTCAGAAACTCTGACTGTGTATATCTCTGACTGGCAAGCAGAGTTACTGTTCTCGGAATAGCCCCGCATTGCCAGAACGTTCAAACCTAGCCCCTTGCTTCCTCACCACTTTCGGAGTCGTCTGTACCGCAGTCTGAATCAGTGTCATTTATCAGCTGCCTCTCAATTTTGGCTTCTTCCATGCGAAATGAGGCCATGGTGGATAGTTGAAATTGTGATGTTTTATAAGCGTTACGATTAGGGGAGGCCACTCGACATCACTGGCCGACTTCCTTTAATACGAGACTAAGGTGTCATGTGTGCTCTTCACGTGGGAAACGGAGTTACATCCAGACAAAGTGCATGAATTGCAACGTCGGACTCTGCATTCAGTTAGATGATGCAGGAGGGAAGACTGTCTACTTATAAAGCGGGTGCCCAATAATAATGTAAGTAGAACAAGAATTTCTATCTTACAATTAGATTTTAAAACACTGTGTGCACACGTGGACTGTGCGTACACATACGGTGTCGCACAGCCACTCGGCTACACTTTAAAGGTCTCCATACGATGTCGCTAGGCTCTTAAAGGATAATATATAAATAGCATTCGTTTCTCAAGAAGTTCAAATTATGACTTCCAGGTGGCAGAAGGAGGCAGACAAAACATTGGTGCATGTGTTGGTATAGTTTGCAATGCCAACTAGTGACATGATCAAAATATGACTGCAGAAACACGAAACAAAGTTTGTCAATAATATATCGACATTTATCCATGGAAGCACAGTCACAGTGTCGATTATATATCGACATTTGACTGGAAAGGGTTAAGGGTGTTTATATAGAGGATGTTGAGGAGGATATTTGGACCAAAGAGGCATGAAGCCAGAGGTTCTTTGAGAAAAATGCATGATGTGGAGCCTCATAACTTGTACCCTTCATCAAGTATGAGGGGCAGTCGAATGAAAACGGGTCAGAAGCCAAAACATATTAAAGACCATTTCTTACTTCAAAAGTAATCTCCAAAACTGTTAATACATTTATCCCACTGGGAGATAAGACGGTCAATCCCATCCTTGAAAAAGCTTGTGGGCTGTCTACGGAACCACATCTTTACCCAGCCACACACGTCTTCGTCCGATGCAAACTGATGTCCACGAATGTCTCTCTTCAGGTCTCCAAAAATGTGGGCTGTAGGGGGGATGTTGAAGCAGTTCCCAAACAAATCTCTGTAGCGTATTCCTCACAGTTGGCAGTGTGGGGGCGCCCATTATCATGAAGAAGGGTAATGCCGTTCGTTAGCATTGCAGGGCGTTTTGACTTTATGAGACGTCTCAGTTTCTGCAAAGTGTCTTCATAGCGCTGTGCACTGATTGTGGCCCCATGCTCCAGAAATTTGACAAGCAGAGGGCCCTTGCAGTCGAAGAACATCATTACTTTACTGGAACTTGTGTGTACGGCTTTGGATTTCTTCAATGGGGAAAAATCACGTGTTTCCACTGTTGGCTCTGCCGTTTGCTCTCGGGTTCCAAATGGTGGCACCTAGTTTTCTCCCCAGTGGCAATATGGACAGAAAAGCATACTCTTCCTCATGGTATCATTGCAAGTGACCCAGTGATGCAGCCATTCTCTGAGTCTTCTGTTCCTCCATGAGTCGATGTAGAACCCACTGTGCGCAAATTTTGTGGTACAGCAGGTGTTTTGTCATGCGATGATGAATTTCTCGTCCTCCTGTTCCTTCAGCCGTCAAAAAGTGCGCTACACTTCGCTGTCCTTCTTTACCCACTTCCATTACTGATGTTGGACGACCACACGTAGCGCTAACCTTGCTTCCAGCACAATAAAGAAATGACTAGTGTGCAAGGGCACATTGTCACTGTGCTTTCCTGAGTCCCCACCAGATGTTGGTACTGTAAGCAAATTCCAGTGTTACCAACTTGCACGCCGTGTGAGTTATGCGTGGTGACCTGTTTTCATTTGACTGCCCCTTCTATAATTAGAATGATGAAGTCAAAGAGAATGAGATGGCATATAACATGCCAGAGGGAGAAGAGGATTGAATGTAGGATTTTGGTGGGAAAGCTAGAATGAAAGAGACAACTAGGAAGACCCAGACATAGGTGTGAGGATAATATTAAAATGGATCTTAGAGAGTAGGATGAGCTAGTCTGGAGTGGATTGGTGTGACTCAGGATGGGGATGAGTGGCAGGCTCTTGCGAGCCTTCAGGTGCCATAAATTTCTGGGAAATTCGTGGGTAGCTGAGTGACTGGTTACTTCTCCATGGAGTTAGTTAGTTTCAGCCTGTTGGCAATCAACAGGCTGTTTATATTGTTTCATTATTATCTCTATTGGCCATTGCTTACAAATTTAAGCCTATGTGTATGATATATTTACAGTGGAACCTTGCTTAACGAGCGATGTTTTGCGTAATGAGTGACGAGAGGGGAAGTCCCAGATTGTGCGCTTGCTACATCAGTCTGTGTTTAGCACTCGTTCCGCTAGCATCTTAGTGTTGCTTGTGATCACACATTTTTCCAAACTTGTGTTCAGA